CCCACTTGTGACTACTCGTCCTGAAGTATGACATTTCACCTCCAAGTCAGCATCCTCAGTTGGAGAATGGGAGCCATATTGATAAGCCATTCTCATAAAATCCTTTTTCATACACATTCCTGTCTCATAAGTATTCAACAAATATTCATTTGTATGAATATTATTCTGGAGCCCAAATTTTCATGGATTTCATTCCCATTCTTTTGTCGATTTTATTATTTAATTTGTTTTCTATAACCCACTGACCCATGACTTTTTCACCATTCCTTGCCCCCCTCCTGTCCTCACTTTTCTTACATCCCATAGTCCATCACCATAGTCACAGCTTGCCAACTCCCTCAACAATAAGCCCCTCTCTTTCTTTCCATTGCTTAACCACCTGGCTAAACCCCACCCCTGCTGAATCCAGCTCTCCTCCTCCTCTACAAGAGGCAATGCAGTATAACGCATAAGGCTGACAGCTCTGGAGTTAGACTGCCCAGCGTTCAAACCCCTGCTCTGCCACCGAACAGCTGTGTGTCTTTATGTAAGTTGCTTGTCCTTTCTGTAAAATAAGGCTGATAACAATAATGCCTTACTCGTGGATATGTAATGAAGTTTCAATGAGAATACACACTTGGACTTGTGCTATCCATGGGAAGCACTCAATAAATTTAGCTAGGATTATTTTTATTATCATCACTGTATGCACAAGTCAATGGAATAAAGTTGGGAAAATCACACACACACACACACGGCTTACACTACAAATGTAAAACCACAAACCTCAGGTGGGTACTTGATACTGCTGGCAACTCTCTCATCGCCTAGAACATGTGCTCTCCTACTCTCCCACAACACTATTTCATGCCTTCAGCTCTCACTTCAAATCTCCCTCGCCCTCAGCTGATGCCCTTCCGTTCTGCTGCATCGGGAAAATAGAAGCCATCAGACAAGTACCATCAGCTGACCATCATCCAATATAGAAAACATACCCACATCTGGCCTCATTTTTGTCACCTTCTCTCCAGTTCAACGAAAGAAATGTCCAAAAGGCCAACCCTCTACTTGGGTTCCAGGTCCCCTCCCTTTAGCTTTCAAGAACTTTCCTCCTGCAGTTTCCCTCTTCTCTCTGCATGGAGGTTCCTCCCTAACATGACCCCCAATGATCCTCACCTCCTGGTATTCATGCCCTGGTATAATTCCCTCCCCTTAAGTGTGGATGGAACCTGTGACTCACCTCTAACCAACAGAATGTGGCGAAGATGCTGGAGGATTCCTTCTGTGATTACTGCATTATGCAAGACTCCACCTTGCTGGTAGGCAGGCCCTGAGTCTCCTTGCCAGCTTAATGAAGTAAGAGGCCATGTTGAGAAGGCCCACGTGACAAAGAACTGAGGGAAGTGGGGGTGGGGAACAGGGGCTCTATGAGCTAACAGCAGCCTCCAGGCAAGAGCCAGCAAGAAGCTTGGACCCACAGTTCTGCAGATGCAACGAATGAATTCTGCCAACAACTGAGTAAACTTGAAGTAAATTCCTCCATCGTTAAGCCCCCAGATGAGAACTCAACCCACCTAACACCTTGACTGTAGCCTGTGAGACTCTTAGCAGCAGACCTAATTAAGCTAAGCCTAGACTCCTAACCCACAGAAACTGGGAGAACTGTTAGAAGGCAAAAAGTTTGTAGTAATTTGTTACATGGCAATAGAAAACAAATACACTTGCCCTCTTCCAGATAATTCTGGAACATCATGCTCTAGTCATTAAGCTAGTCTACTGTATCCCATCTTTAAAAAAAAACCTGGACCATATGCCTTCCAGCTACTCCCCCTCCTCTCTGTTCTCCTTTCCAATAAAACTTGTCAAAAAGAATGTTTCGTATGTGTCCCCTATGTCCTCACCTCCCACTGGATGCTTAGCCCACTCTGGGCACATCTTTGAATTTTCTTGTGTCAAAGACAGTAGGAAATTCCATATTATCTAATCCAAATGAACAAGTTTCTCTCCTCTCCTTATCCAATATTCCAGTAGCATTCAACACAGTTCATTACTCCCCACTTTTTGTAAGTATTTCTTCTCTTGGCTTACTGGACTTGACATTTTCTAGTTTTCCTTCCTTCTACTTACCTGGCTGCTACTTTTCAACCGTCTTTGCTGGCTTCTTCTCTTACACCCAAACCTAAATGGCCAAAGTCTGGCCCAAGGCTCTCCTCTCTTAGCCCATGGCACTCTCTTTGCAGTCCCCGAGCTTCATATTACATCGACGTGCTGATGACTCCCGAGTTCCTCTCTCCAGGCTTGATCTCTCCCCTTAGCTCCTACATCCACCTGCCTAACTGCAACCTCCACCTGGATGTCTGATTGCCATCTCAGACTTCCCAAGTACAAAACAGAACACTTGATTTTTGCTTTCCTGTTTTCCCAGTCTCAGCAAATGGCACCTCTAACCAACCTGCACATCAGGGCCTCATCCTGGGTTCCTCCCTTTCCTTCATCCCTCATCACCCAAACCATCAAACAGTTCTTGCACATTGATCCTCACAATAGATTCTGAATATGCTCATTCCTAACTCCACTCCTGCCAACCTCTAACTCCAACTTGCCTTCCCCTCTCCCTTGGACTGCAGCAGGGACAGCACCCAGCTGGTCTCCCTGCTTGCATTGCTGTCCTCTGGGAACCACACAGCATAAACTTTTGAAAAAAACAAAGATGTGTGCCTTTGCTGCCTAAAACCTTCCAAAGACTTCACACTATACTTTCAAAAGGCCTACCAGGCTCTATGTTGCCGGTGCCTATCTGCCTTTTTGACATGTCTCATACCTACGAAGTTCCAGCCACACTCACCTTTTTCTCCTTCCCACCTCAAGACTTGCAATTGCTACTTCCTCTGCTTGGAAAGATCTTCCAAAGCTAAGCGTCTCAGATCTCAGATCAAACGTCCCCTCCTGAGAGAGGTCTTCCCCCATAGTAGCTTTCTCTTCTTCCTCTGAGACTTCACCTATCATTGTTTCGTTTACAGGATACATCACAACCTGAAGTATCATGCTTGCTTGCTTGATTGTTGTTCTGCTGCCTCTCACTAGATGTGAGCACCAGGAAGGTGTGTCCACTGCTGTGTTCTATAATAGCGCTGGCACATAATAGGTGCTCAATAAATATTTATTGAATAAATGAATACATGAATAGATGTAAGATGTTAACATTCTTACATGCATTATAATAAAATTATCCTGTTATATTAAATTAGAAAATCTCTTCAGATGCAATGTCCTTAAAATGGTAAAAAAATAAAATATTAATAAAATAATACCTCAAACTATGCAATATACTGTATAAGTTTCTGAAAAGTTGTGGGCAAACCAAAGTGTTATAAAATGAAGCCCATTTTGAAAGAATATAAAAGAAATTTGTTGGGAGATGTGAAAAATCTTTTTTGATAATGTGACTTATCACACCCCAGTTATTCTGTTTTTACCGATTTGATTTTTTCCTACATTGGGTTTGCTTTGATCACAGAATATAGATTACTTATTAATGTTTCTATCACAAATTGTGCAAAATCACAATTCAAACCACAAGACACATTTTCAGTATTTCTGGACAAAAATTCCAAGGAGTCACTACTTTTGTTATTCAATGTCACTAACACCATGCGACTTCATTTCAAACCGAGCTATGTCCCGTGGCCAGACAATGCAGGCTTTTCAGCAGATCATGGTAATGAGTGTGGTCACGGTTTGGATTTCAACAGCCAGCTGTCAAAAACTATCATCCCAAATGTCTATTTGCTGAAAATTTCTCACTTCCCAGAGCTGGTACTTTCAGGGTGGTCTAGGAAGGAAATCTGTACCCATATCTACTCTTGGGCTATTCTAATTGCTGATGTTTTAACACTTCTTTGGAAATGCAATTTCAAGTTTTGAGGAGCTAATCTGTTTTGTGTGAGCCCCCAAAGATTTCTATTAAACTCGTCTATGTATTTTTTCTTCCTGAAATACCAATGACTTCTGAAAACTCCAGCAAACAGTTATTCGGCTGCTTTTAAGAACCACTCGACAAAAATCACTCACTCCATCGCTTACCACTTGCTGCCCTCAAAACTTCTTAGCAACATACACCGTGCATGAACCTCAACGTGGTTTGCTTTGTCCAATCGCATGCCTGAAAGCCCAACCAGTCAGTTGTGTAATAATAAATCCCTTATCTCCTGAAGATACACAAACGGAAAGATCTCTCAGTGCTTCAGTGCACGGGGGGACTTCGCTAGAATTCTCAGCAGAAACTCACATCCATTTTAAAGGCCAAATTCCCCCTCCCTTTATTTTTCCGATTTCCTCTTTCTTTCTTAATTGCAATTTTGAGGAAGGAAAACCTCACATGCTAAACGATGTCGTGTTCAAACACGGGAGGGCGAGGGGCAATGCCAAAGGCTGCTAGCAAAATGCATGTAGAAACCAAGGGCTTGGTTATTGCTGTACTGGGTTTACCGGTTCTCTCACAAGCGCCTGTGATGGAAACTCATCAACAATTGTTCTTGGGTGGAAGAAGGGGCTGAGAGATTGACAAGAAAAGCTGCTTTCTAGTTCCAATAAGCCTGAATAGCCCTCGAAATAAGGAGAAGAGGACAGTCCTGCTTCCTCGGGGAAGAATAAAATCTCACTCCCCGCTACCTCGTCAGTCCCCACCAGACATAAACCGGCGCCTACCTCGTCCCATCTCCGAGTTCCCCACCCGGCCGGGGAGAAGCGTCCTTTTCCGGCACCCACACCAGGCACAAACCCGGCCTTTGCGGAAAGGGGGAGCGGTCGCCTCGGGGAGGCGCAGGGGGCGCGAGGCGCAAGCAAATCAACAGTTCCCTCGCCTTGCCCCGCGCTGCCGCCGGCGCCGCCTGACACACCCCTCCCGGCCGGGTCTCTCCGGGTCGCCAGTCCCCGGCCTCAGCCCGGCGCCTCGCCCCGGGCCCGCAGTTCCCCGCCCCGCGCTGGCGGGCTTCACCCGCACCACCGCGCCCACCACGCACCTTCAACGCGCCCCGGGCCGGGCCCTTGGGGACCGCACGGCCGGGTCCGAGGGGCACGAAACGCTCCTCGCCATCCTCGTCGTCGTCGTCGCCGTCCACCACCTCGACGACCACCTCCTCGTCCTCGTCTTCCTCGTCGTCATCCTCCTCCTCCGCGCCCCCTCGGGGCTTCTCTTCCACCCGCCCGAGCCCCCGCCGCCGCCTGCTCCCGCCCTCCTCGTCCTCGTCTTCCTCCCCGAGAAGCAGCAGCACTGGCGACGAGGCGGCGGCGGCCCCGGCGGCCCGAGGGGGGCCGGTCCCAGCGCCGCGCGGCGGCGGCAGCGGCGGCCTCCAGCTCTCCCGGGCGGGGGCGGGAGCCGAAGCCGGGCCCGGGGCATGGGGCGGGAGCCCGGGCAGGGAGGCTTCCTTGGCGGGCGCGGGCGCGGGCCCGGCCGGCTGCAGCGCGGCGCCCCCCCGGCGGCTGCCCAGGCTGGAGCGCTTGGCTAGACGCCGCGCCTGCATGCCTGAGCGCGCGGCCGCGGGCCGCGGAGCCGGAGAGTTTGTCGCCTCCTCTTCCTCCTCTTCCTCTACCGGCGGCCGCTGTGGCCGCAGGCGCCCGGGGCGCAGGGCTGCCAGGGGCTGCAGGAGCCGCCCGCCCGGACTTGCCGCTGCCACTGGCTGCAGAGGCGCGGGCACCGCCTTCGCTGGACCGGCCCGCGGGGACGCCGGCGGCCGGCGGCTACGGCGGGGCGGCGCGGCGGCCGCGGGCGGGGGTGGGTGTGAGCGAGC